ACTCCTTAGTTAAGTTTAACACCATATGTAACTCTTTTGTTTTGTAACAACCAATAAACTCGCAATTTTGAATAACTATGAGTTTTTTCATTGATATTGTAGAGAAGAACCTAACTAAACCTAACCCAAACCTTGACTAAAATAATGTACCTATATTGTGCAGAAAGCTAATATCTATATATGCTACGGTACACCCTACCTAGGTAGGTAGGGTGTATCGTGTATGTACGACAACCCTGCATCACACACACTTGCAGCCTCTCAGAGTCGATCGTAAGTAGTCTAAAAATATTGAGGTAGATCGCCAGCAGTTCAAGTTTGAGCACCCCTGGTCTAGCCCATATTCATTCGAACCTTCGCCCAAGCTTATTTCGTATCCATCCTTGCTATCAGTGATTTATTAAAGGACGATTTTTCTATTTTTTCAAACTTTATTTAAAACACAAAATTATTAGATAAAACTTTCTTAAAAATAAATTTAAAAGCTATGTAAATCAAGCCGTCTCGGTGGAAAAAACCTTAAACCTTTCCGATCATTAATTGTATCAAATAGATCGATAATTAAAACGTGACGGTTTTAATTATCTGAGATGTCGGAGGGATAGGGTGTTTAATCTAAACGTTAATTTAACTTTATCTCCAAGGCAGCGTTCCTTTCTTAAATTGATACCGCTTCAGATGAATTATTATTCGTCGAAAGAATTATTGGATTTATAAATAAGCAACACTTTGATTTTTGATTTAGCTATTCACAAGTATAGACATGATCTGTAACGGCCTGTTACGATACAGTTGGAAATATGCATAAAACTTAAAATATTATATTTTTTATGTATCAGCCCGTAAATTGTAACTTTACATATCCTCCTATTTTTGTACTAAATTTTGGTGTATTTAATTAAGACTAGTGGCACTATTAATACCAATTTTCAGCCATGCTCTCTTCAGTCGGTGCGGAGGGTTTGAGGGAAATCATGGATGAGAGTTTCTGGGTTTAAGTATTTTTTGGTCGTCGCGAGGGTTATATGAAACATTTGGTAGGAAATTACACTCGCACGAAAGGAATATTTATGCCTGTATGGGTAGTTTTGTGTGACACATAGAATGAAAGATTTTTCTTAGTATGATGGTGTGGATAGTTTGTATGCGACAAATATTGAAATGTTTAGCTGTACCCCACACTTCTAGTCCGTCTGTTCTTACCGGTCTAACTGTGCTAAGAAGCAACTTTTTATAAGTGAGAGTAAAATCAGTACGTTCATCAATATTTCTCGAAAGAAGCCCTATATCACCTCATAATTTTTTGACGTTTTCGTCGTATGTACGTTACACAAGACGTACAAACAGCTTGTCCGCAGTTGGAAGAGTAGTGTTGATGTAAACTGAGGGAGTGAAGGTAACAGGTGCTTCACTATTGTTAGGTATCGTTGAGAGTTTGGGATAGAAATGACAGGATCAAGTTACTTGAGAGGATTGCTGTGTCGTCCGCAAAGGTCTCGGTGGTTTATCGATGTCAGCTGTGTACATCTGGTGACGTTTGAGGAATAAGCGGACCATGATTTGTCTTCAATTACTCGGAAAACCTGAGGTAATTATACACGGTGCGATAAGTAGAGGGAGCCCTTGAGCATGACCAGCAAGACTGGGTGCCATATTTCATCAAAAGCATTGCTTACGTCCCCTAGGACCATGAAACAGTACTGCCCAGTAATTTAATCAATTAATGTGGGAAAAGAAACAATTCTATTAGTTCAGAGCAAAAAAAACAGGACAAGTTGATTATTTTTTATTATTACGAAAAACAAAAACATAATTATTACATTTAACCAACATTAATTTAGGAATCATAATTGACCGTAATAATTATTTCAATTAATTATAATTTTTATCTAAGGACTTGGGTGAAAAAGTGTCACGAGTGGGATTTGAACCCACGGACCCACTTGAGCTATCGTGGCATCGATCCACACGTACACCAATATTCCACAGATTTCACGATATTTGAAAGGGTAGCAAAAAGAGGGAAAATTCGGAAGGTTGTAGATTGAGATGAGGAGTTGGTGTCAGAGTAGATCGTAGTCCCGGTAGCTCAAGAGCAGCAGCGTATTTAGTCTCGAAGGTCGTGGGTTCGAATCCCGCTCGTGACACTAACTTTTTCATCTCAACCAAGACCTTGGATAAATGTATAATTAATTACATTTAACAATAAATATCAAAATTTTCAAATAAAAAAGTTGTATGTTCTTGCCATACAGGTATATATTTTTTGCTAAACAATATGACATTTGATTTTTCGGATATCGTGAAATGCGGTCTGGTGTGACGTATGTTTTAGAAAAAACATTTTATTTATTAGTGCCAACGTTTCGATCTTTATTGAGATCATCTTCAGGGCTCAAAGTGTTTGTTTTCTGCGTAATTGTGCCATGCTTGTGTGTCGTGTTGAGAGTGCCCAGCCAAAAATGAGTTGTTGGTGGATATTTTCGCTGGTTTCTTACTTTTCGTTCATCTTACTTTCCATTAAAATTAAACGTTTGTGCATTTTTTCATTTGGTCGAGATGATCGTTCATGATTGATTTTTGATTACAGGATGTGGAAGCGAGATTAGCCCAAGTACGGGCCCTACGCCCTCAGCTTCCGGTATTCCTGCAATGGCCCCGGCCGGCCCTATGAGAAGGGTTTCGTGGATCGGAGGGAACAAAACGGAGAAAAAGAGACGAGCTACTATGAAAGCACTTTCCCGGCAAAGGTCCTTCAGCCTGGAGTCCAACTCGGAAAACCTGCGTCCGTGGGCCGGCGAGCGGCGATCCGTTTCCCTCAAGTCCTCACCTCTGGTCAGTCCGAGGCCGCCTCCACCACCGGCACAGCAGCAGAGAACGGAATCGCCCAAGCCGCAGGAGAGAAGCATATTCGCCGAACTGAGGAGGAGCTCGGAAATATTCAAATCTATTCTTCTCAACCTATCGATGAAGGAGCAGGAGCCGGAAGAGACGAGGATTGAGTCTCCGAGCCCTTTGTCCGAACCGCAGATAGATGTCACCGAGCTGCTCGCCGCACACGAAAGGCTGAGGACGCAGGAAGAAGTCTATTTTTTTAGTTCCTCCGATTCGTCTTCATGCGAGTCTTCCTTGAGCTCATCCGATGATGACCTCGACACTGAAGTCCATCAGGTAATAACGACAATCAAATTTAAATCGTATGTGAAGAAAAAATATCACATTTTCTAAATGCGCAAGTTAAAAGTTTCAAAATTCAAACAACAAAATTTAAATAAATTATTTAAAATATACATCATGTGGATAAACACGGACCAAAATCGTTAAGAACTCTATCTATTATCACTTTGAACGGTGGGCTGTGTGTGGACATAGTAAAGGGCTACATGCCATATCCAATATTTTTAAATTACTATTCAGCATCAACGTACAGGTTACATGTTTTTAATGATCGTATTTATCCCAAGATTTGTCAGAATTTTTGCGCTTGGTCTATATTTCGTTCAGGAGATATTTTCTTGCCGGATCCTTTCCCCTTTTAGGCCTTGTATTTTGGCCCACAAAGTGGTATTCTTTAACTTCGTCACTTCTTTGGCCGTTATAGAAAATATTTACTGGACCAATTAATAGGTGATAATTACTCAAGGGCAAAACAAAATCATATGGTATATCTTTGTTTATTCACTACAACCAAGCCTCAAAAATGCATTAACTTTAAAAAGAGATAGCATTTTTTTTCTTTCGCCTTTACAGTAATAGAACAAAAAAATTGTTTGTTAAAATTAAATCATGGTCAAGTGGAGTTATATTTTTATATTCATGTGTATCTATTTAATTAATCATTTATTATCATCATGTATTCATTAAAAATCGATTGAATCTTATAATGGCAGCCTCAAGAAACTAAAATGTTTAATAATTATTCAACTTGTATGTTGGAGTGATTTTAAGATCGAACATGATTTTGTGTTATGCTGTGAGAGAGGTTGAAGATAGGATTTCATACATTAAACGAAAATTCCGGAAATAATAATTATTTACGTGGAATCGTTCACTACTTCTTAAAAGGAATGTTTTGAAAACAATCGAAAATGTTGATTCTTGAAATACAATAAGAAAACGTTCTAGTGAATATGAAGTTTTCCGACGCCATTTCAAGCGTGTTTTCACGAGATTTCCTGGATCAAAAAGTTAAAAAGGGTTAGGTTAAAAACCACAAAACCTCCAATTGTTTTCTCAAAGAAGTAATTTACGAATTTAATTTAATTAAATATGACCATTTAAATAAGAATTTGGTCAAAAGACGTATGCGTAATTTATGACAGTGTGTTGATGAAGGAAATAATATCCAAGGGTTTCCTCACATATACAACTGTCTTGTATAAAATCGTCCGTTGTACAAAGACTCAAATAGGGGCCTGACCCGCAGCTGAGGATAACGAGCTTGAAACGTACAGATTAAAAAAATATTTAAGCCACTTTTCTCTGCCAACCATATAAATTAAAAAATAATTATGAAACTACAAAATTATTAATTTATTATATGTACTTATTTGCGGCTTGTCTTTGTGGGGTAACATATTTAAAACGGAAAAAATGCAAAGCTCGTCAAGACAAGTAAATATTTTATATTTAAAACATCGATTAATATTTCTGTTTTATCAAGTTGGGTTTATAAATTAAAATAACGGCAAATATTTTTAGAATTACATTGAGAAGGTGCCCCTTATGCAAAGAAAGGTTGCTCGATGTGCCCCACATAATAGAGGCGTGTCATGCCTTGGCTCCATACAGAGAGCGTGTAGGCATGCCGCCGGAGTTAAGAAGAGGTAGCGAGTTTCAGAGTCCCCTGTTCCGCTTTTTAGGAGAAATTGGGTTTTTTTACTGTATCTAATATTATGTCTTATGTGTAGGGTCTGTATGTTTTGTCTGAGTGCATGTATTTATTAGCGTGAATGTCGAGGGGTGAGGGTGAAATATAACGTCATCATCGCCCCTCGAACTTTGAGAGCGTAAGAGTGTGTGGTCGGGGTCGATGGCGGAATATTTATAAAAGTACTCCATCGATTCCAATCTAGATTAGTTTAAGTATAGGTCGATGGAGGAATATCGAGTACGCCCCGACCAAACGGAATGAGTGTACTGTATGGATGTATTTATGTGTATGAATGTGTTTATTTGTATGAATGTAGTGTTTGAAAGGGTAAATAGAATATAGACATTGTTGGGGGCTGAAATGACCTAGATGTCGGAAGCCCCAATAGACTAAATTTGTAGTAATACATCTTCAAATGTCGGTTTGAACCAAAATTATTTAGCTTTTGTAATTCAATTAAATTTCCATTCTGGTAAAAAGGAAATTAATTCCTGTTAAACAACATTGCTTAACGCGCAACTACCCGTTGGGTTTTGCGGACGAAAATTAATTGATCTGGTTGATTACAATATTTAATTTGAAAACTATTTTAATTTTTCCTGCCATCAGTCTGACAAAATATTCTTGGAATAAAACATAATCAAGTTTTGTAAAATGAGCGCATTATGTTTCAGTAATCCACTTTAGACTAATAAAAATTCTTCATAGCAAAAATAGCTCATGAATTCAATTATTTTAAACCGGTGAAATTGTGGTATTGTCTTCCATTTTTGAAAACGGCAAGATAATTAAAACGTGTTTAATACCACCAGGTGGGGTAAATTATGAGTATTTGTATATACATGCTGGATTGCGTATTTATGTAGATTTTTTTCATCTTCAACTATTTCTTTCATATTCATCTCAATACGCTTATGCGATTCATAACAGAAATCGTTTGTAATCCAGGGACACGGTGCCGAAATCGAAGCAGGGTCTAGATTAAGGATCAACCCGAATCTTCCTCCGGACAAAACGACCGGGATCGCCGACATCTACACAAGATCCTATCTTCTGACTCTGCCTGTCCTTTTTTTAGCAGTCGTCAGGGGAAACCCGATCATAATGTACCTACTGCTGAAATACGGAGCGGCGGTCAATTTCCAAGTAAGTAACTTTACATTTTATCAAAGGTAATTCCGCCCCCTCCGGCCACCTTAACTGGCGGGCGGTGAATTTGGGAAAATTTGATGTAAATTGTCGGGCGATTTATCGGGGAAAGTGGTTGTCTAATGAGAAAATGTACTTTTAATGAATATAGATAGCACATTCATTAAAAGGAAAATTGGTTTATTGCGCTTAAAACCTTACCGCTAATTCTATTATGAAGTTATGATCTTAAAAGGCTTTATTATTTAAGAACCATTACATCAAAATTTGAAGCAACATTTCTATTTCAACAATTTGCGTTAATATTTTATTTGTTTATATCGCAATATAGTAGATTAGAGCTTTTATACTATTTGTGATGATAAGATAATTCACGAAACCAATTTTGATAACAATAAAACTAAAAATAACTCAAACTAAAAAAATAAAGATTTCATGTAAATGTATAATACAATTAATGTAGATAGTTGTTTTTAAAGTTTAAACAATTTCGGTTTTTATGCATTCCAAATAGATTTTGTTCTTATCTTTTAACATAAAATTATGATGTTGTATGCTTACTGCTCACAAATAGATTCCCTACAGATATTTAAAGCTTTAAAATTAAGGGAGTAGATTAATGTTTGTGAAAAACGTATGCAAATGCCTGCCCATATAAAAATTCATACTCCCTCACCCTCTTATGTACACATTACATATTAAAATTTCATTTACATTTTTAGAGGCATTAATGTGATAATTACCTAGTTGGTTAACAGCTGTAAAATATTGTAAGTTCGTTAAAATCCAACAAGCAATATTGAAGTGGTTGTATATTTCACACTCAATTTTATCGTATTTACTCATACAATATAATTCGAATTAAAAATTCATATTTTTAACCTTGCTATGAATATATATATATATATATATATATATATATATATATATATATTCACATTAATATGGTAAGTAGTTACTTAGAAGAAATTGTTGAACGTTGTGTGCTAACTTTTCAAAGCATTATTACTCAGTCTTTCTAACGACGTTCCACATTGCATTTTCCCACTCAATGAAGTTGACATATTTATTTTCGCGTTTGAGAGTCAAACGTGAAATATTGAGCTGAACGTGATGGATTCCACGTTCTCCAATCGAAACGAATCTGACATATTTGAGCCCCCCCCCCTGAATGGATACGACAACACGATGGGTTTCTAAAATTATTTATGAGGATGTCGACGTGAAACCGAAACGGAATGATCATGATTTAACAATTACCATATTTTTTAAAAATTTCGCTTTTCATTTGAGCTGCTGGCTATCACGAACAAAAGCAGCCAATGCTCGTTCTTTCGGTTGAATTATGAGTTTCACTTTTCAATATTGATGAATTGACGTTAAAGACTATTTGTAATCCATTATATTTAGTGGGCTGGTTGACCGAACTACTTCTTTCAATTAGTTAATCTTTTTATTAGGTGGTGGTTGAAGTGAAAAAGTTAGTGTCACGGGCGGGATTCGAAACCGCGCCTTTCGGCTCGATACGCCGCTGCTCTAACCACTTGAGCTATCGTGATTTCGATCCACGTGGCCACCAATTCTCCATCTCAACCTACAACTTTTTGAATTTTCCCTCCTTTTTACCATTTTTTATATGTTGTGTAAGCAGGATTGGATTCTCGGCGACTTATTAAGTGGCGGGGGCCTGTTAGTGAAGTTATACTTCGTTTACTTATTAAATCCATTATATTCTAATTGACCAAATTACTTCTTTCAATTACCTAATCTCTTTATCTAAGTTTTTCGTTGAAATGAAAAAGTTAGTGTCACGAGCGGGATGACATTAACCTTTTCATTTCAACCAACACCTTATAAAAATAATAATTAATTGAAAGAACTATTTGTAATGTTGACAGTATTAATTTTACATAAGAATTCTATTGCTATTTCAAAGTTTAATTTATACGTGAAAATTGCCTTCTCTCTTTCTCTCACACTTTCTCTCTCACTCTCTCCCTCACTCTCTCTCTCTCTCTCTCGCTCTCTCTCTCTCTTTCTCTCTCTGTCGTTTAATATAACGGTGATCAATAGTTGACCAAATTATTCTACTCTGAATAAAACCGCATTCGTCCCTTATCTTCCTCTTCATACTCTCTCTCTCTCTCTCTCTCTCTCTCTGTTTATCTCTGTACTTTTACTTTATTCAAGTAATTTTCTTTGTACATCTATTTTTTGTAAGTTATGATACTGCTTATTTACGTGCAAGCCAAATACAATAAGTAATTGTTGAAGAGAAATGTAAAATTATTTTAGACCTGCCTGTTCTTACAGTTGTTCTTTCACCTATTCATATAAATATACTCTCTGGCGGTCTGTATGTCTCGTTCTCTCTCTCTCTCTCTCTCTCTCTCTCTCTCTCTCTCTCTCTCTCCCTCTCCCTCTTTCAATTGCTCATATATATGTATTTCTGTATGCCTCGCACTTATTTTGAAGTCACGCATTATTTCATTGTTTCGCTTAGGGTTTAGCATTTGGTTTATAATCCTGTCAAATTGCGAATTTTTTTTATTGATGAATGAGGATTAAGAAAACATTATTTATTAGAATAATGAATCTTATTGTTAATTAGTTTTATATTGCTTAATTGTAACCGTTATTCTGGTTTGTTAATTGATTTGTTTAAATGTTGTTTAAATTGTTCACCGAGATTTGTCGCTTAGGGAAGAGCTTCAATTCCGGCTTATTCCTCATCAGAACGGTTATTAACATTTAGTCTTTTCTCAAAATTTACTTTCCGCCTGTCGAATGGGGCTCTTGGCTTGTTTATCGGCAGTAAACACAAGTCATAAAAGCGGATAAGATTTCGAATCAATGGGAAATAAAGGAATCTTCTAAGTAATTGACAAAGTTGGTAAAACCTAACCCAGGAATAAAGGGGAAAAGTTTCGTGTAATAGTCCTGTACAACGTAGCACTTCGCCAATCTGTTAGCCTGTTTTCCGTGTTCATCAGGGGCATGAATAGTTTTTCCTTAAATATTTTTAAAACAAATGTAAATTAATCTGCAACGAAACAAGATGCAAGGTTTCCCTTTGGAATATTTGAATTTCGAATTAAAACACACAATGTTATTTTGTTAATTGCATTTTTAGGAAAATTGATTTATTGATCCTAAGTCTTGAAAGGAGGTAATCATTGCATCTAAAACACTTTTTAATTTGACTAATTTTTCGCACGGCAGTTTTACTTGATAACCAGTCCAAACTTTTAAAACACATGCAACATAAGTGCTTTTAAAAACCGGAGTTTTTAGAACAATAAAAGTTTGGACATTAATGAAAAATTGCCAGTTTTATAAAACGTTCAAAATAGTTAAATAGTGTAAAAACCGTCAATCTAAAAACATGTTATAAGTTGTAAGTAATAATAAGTTGCAAAATTAATGTAAATAAAAACATCAATTTTAAAAACAAAGTTGTACGGGGTGTTCGGCTGCTCGTGTACAAACTGTACAACGTTCGTGAAATGAGCGTTTTAGTAGTGAGAACATTAAAACAAAATTTTTTTTCAAAATTGAAAAACTTACAATGGCGATTTTAATTTACTATTTCCAAACCTAGAAACCAAAATTTCAGCAAATCTGATCCATTTAATATCCTTTTTAGTGGTGCAATTGCTTTTGTAATTACTTTTTCAAAAATGAAGAAATTGATGAAGGAAAGGAAAAAACCGTAGTTGAAGGATTGGTAAGGTGGAGAGATTAATAATAATAAAATATAAAAAACTCAAGGAAATTTTGAATGAATTTATTAAAATTTTTAATTTTGATTCTAAATGCTCTCCACTTTCCTCAATGTATTTTCGACACGTTTTATTGGAAATTTAATGTAGTTTTCAACGGATTTGTCCAAAACCTTTTAATTTTGGAGTTACCATTGTTTATTTGAAGCAAGGTCGTGAAACCTTAAAAAATCAGAAAAAGTGGAATAACCCTGAAACTGCTGAGATTTTTTAGTTAGTTATTATAAATAGTTAATTAGGACTTTTTGGTTCCATTTTGAATGTATAATCTACTGGCAAAGTTTTGTAACACGTGTAGCCTAACACTCTGTATTTGTATTATGAAAAATTAAATTTTTGAAGATGTCGCTTTCTTTGAAGCAAATCTCTTTACATAAGAAAATCTTCGCACAGAAATCTAAATAAATGAAAAAAAAAATTACACTCGGATATTCTAAAACGAAGTTTATAAACCTTATTAACATAATTTGTACCACTTATTATATAAAATGTGTACGGTTTACATAAAATGGAATATAATTTGTAATGCTTCTGATATTTTAATCTCAGTTATTATGTTTTCATAATTAAAATTTTCACGGCTATGTTTTAGATCAAAGTAGGTATTGAAGTTATTTAACATGAAAAGACATTAATACAAATGCCTAGGTTGAAGTAATTTATTTAAATATTTTGATTGAAATAAGTATGCAGTCAAGCAGAAAAGTCTAAATATGAAAAACTGCGTTATTAGATTTTATGGTAAAAATATGACGGTCAAGAACGTTAAGTTAATTTAAATCCTTTCATCTCGCTGGTGTTTACGGCATTAGGGTGAACCGCGATTGTCAGACGGTAAATCAAGTCCGCAAGCTGCTCGTACTGTAATTAGGAGGCACAAAGGGCCATGCATTCAAAATTGGGTGCGTGTAGCCGAGCAGAATTCTGCCTATAAATATGTAGAAAGCTCCCACGCCCCCGAAGCTCCGACACTGCCCTTCATCTAAATTGAAAAAAAAGTTAGGTTCCAAAGTCGAAGGGGAAGCTTGGCCCGGGGGTGTAGTACTTTAGCATTTTAATACATCTCTTTTCCCACTTGAATTTTGAGTTAGCCTTTCGACCCCCTCCTTCTACTTTCGTAACTAAATGAAATCTGTTCGGTTTAAAATATCCCAGTTTTACCACCTTTCTTTAATGTGCGGCGATACAAGAGGTATTCATTTTTGGGGGCTTTTCTTCACTTCTAAAAACATAGAGACTAAGTTTTGTGAATGAATGCATGAATTTAAAAAAATATATTTTTTACACTTTACATTTCGATTAGATTAAAATAAAATAATCATATAAAACAGAAAGAAAAGCAAGCAGATCACATGAAAGTAGAAATATTCAAAAAGATGATATATTGAGTGAAAGAGAGAGAGAGAGAGAGAGGAGAGATGGATTGAGAGAGAGAGAGAGAGAGAGAGAGAGAGAGAGAGAGAGAGAGAGAGAGAGAGAGAGANATATATATTACTTGGATAATTTTATTTCACATACAATTTATATGAATGTATGTATGTACGTATTTTATGTCAAATTTTGTCTGAACACGAGCTTACAGGCTGTTATCTCCGAATCGTGGTAAAATGCATAAGTTACACTTTTACACGAATGTAGACACGTGTAGACAATATTCTAAGAAACTATGTAAGACGTATTAAACTGGTTTGTCTCCCTGTGCTGATCTATTTTGTTTCAACGAAATATCTAATAATATTCCATTCTCTTTTCATAGGTTGTAGTAGAAAGTTTCAACTAGTATATTCAGTTAGTTACGTCTTACATCTGTTGTCATGTAAATGTCAACCTAGTCTTCGTATAATTTATTATACGTCATTTTTATCTCACATTCGTTTTACTTCTGCATATGTGTGTGTGTGTGTGTGTGTGTGTGTGTGTGTGTGTGTGTGTGTACATCTTTGGTATCCATTTCAATTATTTTCTACATTCCAGTAGATGAACATGTATATGTTATCTTATTATATATATATATATATATATAAATTATTGTTTAAACTTGGCCATTTGTAACATTATGTTTTCCTTCAAAATTGTAGTTGGATTGGATATTTGCTATGTTTAACGTAGAATCACGGAAAACCAGGAAAGATTACTCAGCTGTAAGGTGAGATTACCACAGTCTACAAAACAACCACTAAACCTTAATTTAAAGACAGCTATTTCTGTTTCTTTATAATCATAAATAAACGGTTTGGATAAAAAGTGTATGATGCTTCTATAAGACAAGACTTTGAATAACACGTTCAGTTGTCATTATTGCTCCGGAGTTTTCGGATTTGTTAAATTTTATGTTTGGAGTGATATAAAGGTCGAGCTGGTTTCAAGCACGAAATTAAAAAATAACGCGCTTTCCTAATAGTCAAAGAGATGAGTTTTTACAACTAAGTATCACAGGTATTGCTTTACACAGGTTTACTAACGGGGTTTGAATTAATTACTAAATTAAAATTTACAGTGGAAAACAACTTTTTCTTTAATCTGAGGTGCTAGTTCATGGGAATACTAACTATTTTTAGGGGAAAGTAGTTGTATGAACATTTAATTACTGGCAAGCGAACGTTTCAATATTAAATACTTATTTATTTAGAAATCGTGAGATGCGGTCTGGTGTGATGTAGGTTTCAGAAAAATATTTTATTATCGTGCCAACGTTTCTCATAAATAATCTTGACATACTCATTCTTTCTGCTCATAAGACCAAACAAACAGTAGCATTCAGTAAAAAAGAGTACAGGGGAAAATTAACAAAATTATCACAGACACAAACACATACAGCTAATCAAATCAGACCCTACACCTACTCTCATCAAACAAACAAAATTCTCCAAGAAACATTTAAACGAAAAGAAATTGACATATACACCTACAAATCACTTCAAAACAACTCACCAACACACCCGAAACTATATGGAACTGTAAAAACCCATAAACCAGACCACCCTCTAAGACCCATAATTTCATTTGTAAACTCACCCACATATAACATGACAAAATACCTAACCAACATACTCAACAACATCACAGATAACACATATAATGTAAATGATTCATTTCATTTCATTAACAAAATTAATAATATCCACATCCCCTCACACTACTCTCTCATATCCCTAGATGTTTCATCACTGTTTACCAACATCCCAAAAGACACAACACTGAACATTATTAAAGATTAATGACCCAACATAACACCACACACAACTCTATCAAAGAACACGTTTATAACAATGTTTCGACACTGCTGTATTAACGGATATTTTACATACGACAATCAATTTTAAAAACAACTATTTGCTACAGCCATGGATAGCAACCTAGGCCCGATACTGGCAGACATAATCATGACACATCTACTAAATACAGTCATACCACAACTTCCTTTCACATTACCCTTCCTCACTAAATACGTAGATGATATTTAGAACAGCTGTACCCACAGATAAAATTCAAACTACATTAGATACATTTAATAGCTTTCACCCACGTCTACAATTTACACATGAAATCGAAAACAACAAAAAATACCATTTTTAGATACCCTCGTAATAAAACAACCAGATGGCATATTAATCACAGGTTGGTATCAAAAACCAAGAAACACAGATCGCTACCTCAACTTTAAATCTCACCATCCCCTTCATACAATAATAAACACGGCCAAAGGGTTACTTCACAGAATGACTGCCTTAAGCCAAGAATCCTTCCACCATAAAAACATAAAGATATACAAACAGATCCTCCATAACAATCTCTACCCTAAACACATTATTAACAGAATAATCAACAACTACAACTCAACTCTAACACCATCTACTATTACTAACAATACTACATTAAGTCTATCAAATACAAACAAACCAGCATACATATCCATACCATTAATTCAAGGCCTATCACATAAATTAAACACAGTTCTCTCGTCCGATAACTTCAAAATAGCTTTCAAAAATTATAAAACAATCCAAACACTTTTTTCCAAAATTAAAGATCCCACACAAATCACAAACAATTCTGACGTAATCTACAAGATCAACTGTTTAAACTGTCCGGCAACTTACATCGGTCTTACATCCCAATATCTGGACAAGAGAGTAAAGCAACTTATCTATGATTGCAAAAAACCCAAGCAAAATCCTACAGCACTCGTTACCCACCATTTTGAACACAAACATAATTTCGACTTCAACAATCCAAAAATATTACACAGAGCAAAACAAAAAAAACGTAACTTTTTAGAAATGGCTTACACCAACAGGGATAAACACATCATCAATTACAGACACATGTAAACTCAGTCGCAGCTACGCCAATATCATTAATCAAAGTCAATACAGATAACATACCTATATCATCACACTACATTCCACACATCAAATATTTTTCACATAGTCTAATTTCCCAACAATTTAGCTTTCCTTTTCCTATTTATCTCTTTCTATATAATCCTGAAAGGATAATCTGGCCGAACCATTATCAACACATTTTTTCCATTCGTCGGCTCTTTTCACCTCAAAGAAGCCGACGCCTTATACAAAAATGTCTTTTCTATACCGACATCCTTCCCCACCCCTTCAAAATCCAACGTGTATAAACACAAAATAGCAAAATCTCACTGGCACTCTCAGCACGACACGCAAGAATTACACGGAAGACAAACACTTGGACTAAGTAGAATTACTTTGATTGAATATAAAAAATATATTTTGCATTGTATAAATTCACTTTTCCACAACCTAAATGTATTTGTTAAATGTAAACAATGTTTGTAAATCCCAGGCCCTGAAGATGATCTCAATAAAGATCAAAACGTTGGCACGATAAAAAAAATGTTTTTCTGAAACCTACATCACACCAGACCGCATTTCACGATTTCTAAATAAATATCGATTAACGGTCACTAATCACCACACATTAAATATTTAACTTTTTTTGTTATTGAAAGATTTTTCCCAGTATATGTGTGCTGCCTTTGCTTTTCCATACACAAAAATCTCTTTATATAACAAACTTGACTCTATCCCAGTGCAGCTATTGTGTGAGTGTGTGTGTGTGTGTGTGTGTGTATGTGTGTGTGTGTGTGTGTGTGTGTGTGTGAGAGAGAGAGAGAGAGAGAGAGAGAGAGAGAGAGAGAAAGAAAGAGAGAGAGAGAGAGAGAGCGAGAGAGAGAGAGAGGGTGAAAGTGAGAGAGAGTGAAAGAGATTTAGGGAAATGTGGATGCTAGTGTTTTTTGTTCCAGTCATGAGCGCCGTGACAACGACTAAACCGTTTTTTGAAGAAAAATAAAAATGTCGTTTATTTTGCCTTTATTTTTTTTATAAAAGTATGCTGTTAAAAGAAAAAAAATTTGGTCTATAGCATTCTACATCAGATCCAATTACGTTAATTTCTCTTTGAACCTTGTCAATTTCAGCATATCCGCCGCTTTTGCTTCGTTCAAGTAAAATTCAGACCGTAGAAAGAGTCTCATTTTTAACGACACTGTCTACTTGAGCCGACTTGTACGTTTACTCGCACAAACAACAAAGTCGATAAATAATTCAGAGCCTGACATTCTCTAGTTTATCGATTTATCGGAGAAGCCCTCTTTTCGCGATAATAGCGCAAACGAACGCCGGCTTGAACAAATGAACCAGTTTGTGTAGCACAACAATAATATTATGCCCTTTACGCAGAACTTGTTTACTTTGTTGCTTGCACTTGAATTGTATTTTTTGGAAAATTCTGTTTTATACATTATTTATTCAATTATTATTAAAGTTCAAAATATTTATACAAATATAATAAAGGTTAAAATAATTTATATTGTTATTATTGTTTATCAAAGTGGAAAGGTTTTCGGATACAGTTTTGCCGAACGATGCTGTCTTGCGGAATTGTATCTTCGCGCCGTTTTGCAGAAATCTAAATACTCAAATTTAACTATTATTTATTGTAGGTTTAGCCATTAAATATTTCCTACCATCCGAGATTACATTTTTTAATGACGTACTTACTAATTATTTTTAATAGGAGAAAGGTGTGATGAATATATAAAGCGCTATTTATATTAATGACAACATGAGATGTTATCTCAACATGTCCTATTCTCATTTAAAATTTATTTTAAAGGACACTCATGGAAATTCTCCGCTGCACCTTGCTGTCGTCCGGGATAACGTCCCCTGGGAATGCGTCGTCCAGCTTGTCGAGAATGGAGGGCAAGTTTCTACGAAGAATATGAGAGGGGTCACCGCGGCCGAACTCGCCCCGCCGGGGCTGCTCACCTCCCTGCAGCACAACATGATAAACAAAGCGTGGCCTGAGCCGGGGCAGGAGGCATCAGCCCCGCAGCCCAGAGGGACCCCGGCTCGTATACTGAAGAAGCTTCGCAGCGGACGAGCGGAGAGCGGCGAAGAAGGCAGCTATGCTTCCGGAGGGGAACAGAAAGAATTGTCTTCCACTGGCTCCGCCAGATCCAGCCTTAACCGAAGCCCCGATCTAAGCAAGGTAAGAGAATCAAGTTATCATTATGAACCTGAAGTCTTAAAATGAACGTCGATATTGACTTTGACAAAATAATTTTAAACAAAACTGAAGTGTCTGGAGTAAAAAAATTTAAAACTAGAATTAAACTTATCATGTCCTGAGGTGTATAGTGCCATTTGCTCCCCACATCGGTGAGAAATTCTTGCTAACGCCGAACAATGCCAGGCCCATGGAGCATGAGATGTGAATTACCGGAATGAGGTTGGAAGTACATGTCCAGATTTGAACCTAATCGAACACATTTGCGACCAACTTAAGCGACGAGTACAACCGTGAGACCTAGGTTGTAACACCTTTCAAGAGTTAGAGATGTCTGTTCTTCATGAATAGGAAAGAATTCCTCACGATTTTATCAGAAATATTTTCCAAAAAAATGCATAGGCGTTCAACGTGAGTCGTGCCTGAGGTGGAAATCGTCTGAATTAAATTTGAATTTTTTTTAAAATTTTTTTTAAATATCTTATTTTTAGTACATGTAAGGATGGCGGGTTAATCTTGTCCATCATTGGATATAAGATATTCATATAGAATATCAAACTTCAGGGCTATGGCAGATTTGAAAGAAAGATAAACACATAATTCCTTCGTCAAGCTTTCGAGGAATATATTACTTTTATCATGGCTTTAACACTATTTTGGATGTGTTTTTTTTCGGGCTGGTATTTCAATTTCTTAATTGAGGATGTGTTGTGGTGGAACTAAAATTTCTGCTTAATTACATTAACAAACATAAACATCTACTTACAATATTAAAAATAATGGCGTCAACTATAATGAATTTATGAGCTAAGCAACCATCTGATTAACCAGTCGGATAAAATGTACCCAGCTGCTCATTTATCCTAAATTACAACATCAAAAATTACTCTTATTATTTGAAAACCACATCCACATAAAACATTCTGGTTAGTATTAGGGTCATTTCTCCCGTGCCGCTTTAATAATTTACGTTTTCATTTGAACTCAGTTTAGAAGGTATTCAACGTTGCAAAAGTAAAACAAATTTGAATGCATTTATTGAACAATACGCACTATGAAAAAGTTAGTGTCAGGGGCAAGATTCGAACCCACGACCTTTGGCTCTTACGCCGCTGCTCTAACGACTTGAGCTATCATGACTTCGATCCAGTCGGACACCAAACTCCCCAACACAACCTACATATCGAATTTTCCCTCTTTTTCCCCATTTTTCAAATGTCGTGTAAGCAGGATTCGATTATCGGCGACATATGAAGTGGCCACGGAGAGCTGTTAGTGAAGATACACTTCGTTTTAATTATTAAATCCATTATATTTCGTGGTCTGATTGACCAAATAATCATTTCACTTAATTTATCATTTTATGTACGATCTTGGTTGAAATAAAAAAGTTAGTGTCACGAGTGGAATTCGAACCCACGGACCGTCGGCTAATCGTGACTTGGATTCACTGGGACACCAATATTCCACGGATTTCACGATATTTGAAAATACAGCAAAAAGAGGGAAAATTCGAAAGGTTGTAGGTTGAGATGGGGAGTTGGTGTCCGAGTAGATCGAAGTCACGATAGCTCAAGGGGATAGAGCAGCAGCTTCTTTAGTCTCTAAGGTCGTGGGTTCGAATCCCGCTCGTGACACTAACTGTTCCATTTCAACCAAGACCTTACATAAAAAAAATAATTAATTGAAAGAAGTTATTTGGTATCAGACCACGAAATATAATGGATTTAATAAGCACTATTTTTGCATGGAAGATCAAAGGAAAAGGTAAACCGTGAATTATTAAAATTATCGGTTTTGTTAAAAATGTCATGCATACTCCAGGGATCAGATTGAAAATATAATGAAACATGATATGGTTTTTTATAATTTTGCAAGTGTTTCTGCTAAACTACAATACCTATTATTCAAATTTGAGCTACGGTATTCTTTATAATTGCATAATAGAAAATTAGAAATAATGTCTGCCTTTTCCCAAGAAACGTTTGCAGATCGTGCAATATGACCTAGAGAATCTCAACGAGTTGCACTCATCCATGATTGACAATTTACAGACGAGTATAAAACATCCTAAGGCTGTACCTAAAGGGCAATTTTCCTTTCTAGGAACGGTCTCGTTGATTATTAAGCTTTTGTTGACTGGGAAAGAATGGCGACAAACGAAATGACTCAAAGCTTCATTCTTTTCATGAAGGGATTTGGTTGCAAAGGGCTCCCGGCCGTAGGGAAAAGGGAACAAAGCATATCTAAATAAGAAGAGCCTTCAAATTGAGAACATTTGATTGCCCTTCAGAGAGGCACATCTTGATCAACCATTAATAATTTATAGATTTCTCATGACTGTACCATTTCCTAATTTTGCTCTACCAATCTCATTCGCGATTTAAATGAAGCAATTTCGGCCCAATCTCTTTTTCAACCGTTGAATTGAACATTGCTGCTTGCAAAACGTTTCCTACAAAGACACATCTTGCTAAAAGTAAATGCCAAATATGTATTAACCTAAATGCATTAACACTTAAATGAAGTGCGTTTAATTTGTCCAAAAATGTATATACAACAATACATTTACTGTAAATATACATTACAAATTACTTGTAGTTGAATTTCTCTGTCTACATCAAAAATCTCACGTTCCAAAATACTCGATGCCGATTTTTACATCGGTGGCCGTTCAATTACGTAAAACACACCGATCGACAATCTTTCCCTCAAAATATTTTTCCTTTTTATACTTTTTTTTTATAAAGTAGTTTCAAGAAATGGGTTCATGTCATATTGTATGGCATATGATAAAATTTCCTGTTTGAAATTCTTTTTTTTTATGAAGATGTTTCCGAAGGACCCGGCATTCGAACCCGACATACTTACAAATGCGCTTTTTTTTTTCAAAAACACCGGCACCCCGAAAGTTCAAGTAACCTCGTAGTTGAAATACCCTCGTTAAAAAAAATAAATAAATAAATAAAATGAATTTATGTCATAAACTAATTTATTGAAAACTAGATCAGTGTTAAACCTGTCCTTACTGGCTTGAACAACTTAAGGGAACAACGTTCAGAGCATAAAATTTGGCTCATATTTTTGCATCACTTCGTTATGTTTGAAAAAGCGTCTAACTTTTACCTTCACAATATTCATGAAAAAATGTTTATTTAGTATTACTTACCACACAAAAACTATTACTAACAATATCTTCTTTCTTGACGTTTTTTAGAATATTCATAGACTCATTGAAAGTTGAGCCAAGGGAACAATTGAGTTGTTGCCCTGGAATTGAGAGCGCGCCGTACATTTTCCGAAACATTTCCCCTCTTCTAGCCCAACCCGAGGTTGCATGTATACCTGTCATACAGGATATTACTTGCTTCTCTGCTCGACCCGCTCGTACATAACAAACAGCCATCTTACTCAACCAAGCGCACAGAGGGGCTTAGGGCCGTGATATTAAAACTGCCGTATTTGACTACAAGCGGCTTTTCCGAGTCCAAATATTACTTTTGATTAGTTTATTATATTAAAAATGTTGACTTTTAACAATTTTTCTTGAAATTCTGTAGTTAATGAAGTAATGAAAATCAGCTTGATGGATATAAAATTCAATAATGCTCGATGATAAATCGTTGTTTGGTCTAGAAATTTTGTAAGCACGTCAACAAAAATAGCACTGATGTACATATGATGCATCAAAGCAACCATTTTGACATTTTTCTCTATTAATCATTTTATCTATGTAAGGCTTTGGTTCAGATAAAAAAGTCAGTGCCACGAGCGGGATTCGAACCCACGACCTTCGGCTAAATACGTAGTTGCTCTACCACTTGAGCTATCATGACTTCGATCCAGTCGGGCACCAAACTCCCCAATACAACCTACATATCGAATTTTCCCTCTTTTTGCCATTTTCAAATGTCGTGTAATCAGGATTGGATTCTCAGCGACTTATGAAGTGGCCACGGGGAGCTGTTTAGTGAAGTGATACTTGTTTTATTTATTAAATATTAATCCATTTACGTTTTAGTGGTCAATCGACCAAGTTACTTCTTTCAATTAATTATTCTTTTTAGTGAGGTCTTGGTTTTGATAAAAAAAGTCAGTGTCACGAGCGGGATTCGAACCCACGACCTTCGGCTAAATACGCCGCTAATCCTACCACTTGAGCTCGTGACACTGACTTTTTTTATTAAAACCAAGACCTTACATAGAAAGAATAATTAATTGAAAGAAGTAACTTGGTCAATTGACCACTAAAACGTAAATGAATTAATATTAATATTATTAATTAATCGCGTACATTATTGAAAATTAAAGCTTTGAAAATATAGAACTATTAAAGAAACAGTTTTAAAATATATAAAACTCATGTGACGGTTATTTTCTGGGGTCGCGGGCAACAGTAATTTTGTAATATATTTTTTATATTATTTTCAATTAAAAAACGATGAGCTATGCCTCTTTTCTTCATCGCTCTATTTATTTTGTATTTATTTATTTTAAATGTATAAACATAGCTTTAAGTCACTTTACATGCACTTTACATTTATAATTCATAAATAAATTTAGTTTTAAAATATAGTTAAATGTAATAGTAGCAATAATAATAATATAATTATTCGGAAATCGTGAGAAACGTCTGGTGTGATGTAGGTTTCAGAAAAACATTTTCTTTATCGTGCCAACGTTTCGATTTTTATTGAATCCTGAAGATGATCTTAATAAAGATCGAAACGTTGGCACGATAAAGAAAATGTTTTTCTGAAACCTACATTACAGCAGACCGCATCTCACGATTTCCGAATAAACATCGACTAACGGTCACTAATCACCGCACAATAATAATATATTAATCAATATATATTATTAATAATTGGCCGGATTAATTATTTTAATTATTTATACTTTTTATCTAAGGTCTTGGATGACACCCTCCGATCTTCGGCTCAATATTCCACTGCTGTAACCACTTAAGCTCTCGTGAATTC